CTCCCAGAGCTAGGCCGACGGGACGATGGCGAGTGTGGGAACAGGAAAAGGTCTGAAATCCACACGCTACAGGCGATGTGACTTCTCGAGCCTGGCACAAGGGGCCACAAGGGCCAACGTGATGGGTGTGCTGATCCACGTGGTGCTGGCCTGTCCTTTAGGCCTCGGTGACTTCATGGCCCCAGCCACGCTCAGAAAGCCCAGGAGCCCTGCCTCCCAGCAACCCATCTCTGTCTGCCGACTCAGCAGGGGCTGACAGCCCTAAGTCCCCAGGGACCGTGGAGATCCCCCACACAACAATGCCCGCCACCCGCCACTCTGAGTCTGTACAGCAACACCACAGTCACTCGGGAGGGCTGCCGGAGGAGGCAGGGGTCAGGGGCTCTGTAGGACGGCATGGGGGCATGGGATCCACCGCAGGTGCATGTCCCCGGGGCAGAACACATTCCAGAGGTGGGGGAGGAAGCCAATTGGCCAAGGAACGACTGCTCACAGAGGTCCCAGCCAGAGGACGGCAGGGACCACAAAGCACAGCATCCTGCCTCTCGGCCAGGGGGAGCGCCGAGACCTCACCACTCACGCCCTGCAGGGGCCCAAACAAATAACCCCGGGGGCTGGAAGCCAACGATGCTGTCACAGTGAAGGAGCCGAGTAAGATCTTTAAAGCGTAACTCTTGCTGAAATGGTATCCAGTCCGCAAACTCTTCTCAACAGTTTCATGTCACAGGAAAGCATCAAGTCAAAAAGTATATGATGCAATCCTAATGAGCACGTATGTGGCTGTAAAATACCAAGATATTAGCCGAGGTTATCTTCAGATTATATGCATGTTTTCATTGTTGTTTTCGTCTTTCCTAGTATTTGCCATGCTGTCTATGATGATGACGTGTTGCTTTTTAAATCAGAAAACAATAGTAATAACTAAAAACAGCTAACACCTCGGGGCACCAGCCAAACGCAAGATCCTCTCTGCGATTTACTGTATCTGACCTTCACGTCACCTTCTCAGGCGGGCAACACCTTGCCTTCTGGACAGGAGGAGACCTCGGCTTGACTACAACTCGGTAATTCTCAACCTTCGCGGCACATTACAATCATCGGGGGAGAGTTTTTAAAGCAACGATGCTCAGCCCCACCGAGGGTCAAATAACTTTTCTGACGTTCTCCCAGGTAACTGTCACCTACCCGAGGGCACACGAGCGAGGAAAGGTACAGCTGGGGCTCACGTCTGACTGCCTCCAAGGCCTTGAACTGGCCTCTGAATTAGGATCGACAAGTTCTGGGGAACAGTGCGGGGGGTGGGGGGCATGGGGAAGGCCACACAAGGAAGAAGCACAGGCACCATCGCACCTGCTTCAGCATGGGACGGGGCATCTGCCCACTGACTCGACTCAACGCGCCCCTCCAGGGTGAGGGCCATGCTACGCTCTGTAAGGAACACGGATGAACTCTGCACTTCACCCCTTGCCCAACCATGGAGACGGAGCACACGCCCGCTGGGCGCCAGGTGGCACCTCAGGCAGACACCGGGCCTGTGGCGTGGGCGGGGGCAGGGCAGTGTGGCCCCTGTGTGTCTCGAGCGGCCCCTGAGGGATTCACACCTCTTCTTAGGGGCAACATTTTTCAAGTCAAGGAAAGACATCCACAAAATACTGTCTGGGGAAGACTAATCTGTCTTGTGAGAAAACCTCTGGGCTCAAGGACCTTGTTTGAGCGGCTCAGGGCCCAGCCTTCTCCTCCTCGGCGGCTAATCAGCAGGTTCTCCGTGGAGCATGGCATTCTCATCCAACTAATAAAGAGCCTTTGCGCAAGCAAATACTATTACCTTTCATATTTACCCACTGTTTGTTCCCCCGTCCCCGTGTTTTTCCTCAAAGAGCCCTGACAAACGCAAGGCACACGCCCACGGTTACCATGGAAATTATCTACAAGGTCCGTGCCAGGCACGGGAATCCCTGAGCAGGAAATGCGCGTTTCAGGGCAGGCCTCCCTGCCCTGTTCACACAGACGTCTTCTCCTCCGGAGGCAAAAATGTCAGACGCCCCAGCAGGAGAGCATTTCCAATCCAAAGGGGAGGTCACAGCCTCCTGGCACGGGTCACCACCCTGCCTGCCATCTGTCCTCGATGACTGCCAGGCGTACTTTTCCAGCCGTGAGGTTTTCTCGTTACGTCGTACGCTCAGAGGGACGCCCTAGTGGGCACTAACCGAGTAGCCGCTATCAGAGAAGAGAATGTCATTCGATTTGTCTGAAATTCCAGAAGCGAATGGCCAGCCACCAGCCTGCCGGCCTGACCGATCGGGGCCAGGAGAGGTCAGCGCCTGAGGCCCAGGTAGACGCCAGAGATGGACCGGGCGGCCCCGGTCGCCGGGCCGCTGTGACGGCTTCCCACCGCACGGCAGCTGGGCGGGGTAGAGCGCGAGGGGCTCTTCCAGCACATCAGACGGACGGAACTTTACCACACGTCACAGCCAGGGCCAGCTGCTGTGCTTTCCTGGACGGCTCCAGGGCAGCACCATGGCCACAGGCTGTCACCTCGGGGTGCCACCGGACTTGACCCCAGAGCCTCTCAACCTGCCAGCCCTGACGTCGTGCTCCAGACTGTGACCGTCAGAACCCTCCCTCCTTTGGTCACTGCTGTGTATGGCAGCGGGACTCCGCGTCTTCAGAGCGTGAGGGGAGAGCACGGGTTACTCCCGCCGTTTTGTAAGGAATTCTTAACGGCCAAAAACACACATTTCGTTCCCTCTGACATCCTCAAGGAGCTAGACACCAGAGGCCCAAACTTTAAGACTCTGCTTCAGTGGCGGGGCTAACTCTCACTTCGCCTGAAACTACATTTTTCTCGGTTAGGGCTGAACGGTTTGAAAGTAACTTCCTCCTTCAGGATTGAATAGCTGTTACTTCATTTTTTGAAAACGCCACATCCTGCAACTCCTGGGCCCACTGATCTAGGCGTGACGGGAGCTACAGAAGATGCGCCCTGCACCATGCCTGCCCTCAGAGTGCTCACAGTCTGGAGGGGAACAAGAAAGCAAGTAAGTGCCCACAACCACCACCCGCCCAGGCAAACATGCGCCTCCCTCCTTCTAGGCGTTGAGGAAGCAAGAGGGAACGGAACAGAAACTCCCTGCTCTCGTGCCGGGATAAGACAGCGTGTGACAAGCCACAGAACATAAACGAGTGCGAAGGGCACCAAAAGGCCTCGAGGAGATGCACCGTCCACGTCCCCACCTGGCTGGATTCTCTTCACCCAAGAAGGGGCGATGTCGTGGCGGTGCCCGGTGGGCTGTGAATTCCCCCCAACAGGCACAGTTCAGGGTTTGTGCCTGAGGCCCACGCCTGGGCTTCCCCACACACTGGGCGCAGCACGTCCCGGCCCCAAGAAACGGGACAGGCTGACTCTCGCTGTTCACGCCGATGTCAACACTCAGTCCCCGAGTTAGGTAACACAGGAAGAGGTTCTGAAACAGTCTGTGAAGACGGCACAGACACATCTGCCTGGTGTGGAAAGAGGAAGAATGTAGAATGCACTTGCTCTAATTTAAGCAATTTCACTAATTAAGCACCTAAACCCAGAAGGAGAGAAAACGGTGTTTGGGGCTCACCTGCCCCAGCACACAGCGGTTTCTGGACTGTGCAGAATGTCCTCCTGCTTCTCCACTGCCCAGGACCTAATTTCACCTACTGTCTTCGGGAAGCTGCACCTGCTAATTCTGCACCTTTGTTTCTGACATACGGGGGTGCAAGAGCCTCCTCTAAACAAGGTGCTTACTTACAGCCTAATCCTCCCTGGGAACCTGGAGTCTGTGGGCAGCGCCCCCACCCCCACCTTCATTCTTATTTCAAGGCAGCTGCTCAAAGGTGCTTACGTGTGGCAAAGGTCACCGGCTATATCCTCCCAAAGTCCTTCTGATTAAAAGCTCAGCGTGGGCCACTCATGCTGACTGTGTGTGCATTCTTAATTAGCTGCAGACTGGGAATTACGATGGGAATGGGCTCAAATGACTGTAAGAATGTGAGCGAGAGAAAAGTCAGGTGATGTTCATTTTACTTACACACACACACACGCCCTCTTCTCTCAACGGAAAAAACTCTAGGTCTACTTTTTGTGATGAATAAAATAGTGACGATAATGATAAAGTCTCCATACTCAGTAAATATATTTAGTTTAATGGAAAAATAACTAGAACAATAGTTAAAGTATTTTTACGGTGGAACAATTTTCCCCAAACTACATCCTATGCTGAAGCCAAATAAAAGAATCAGATCAAACTGGAGCTACCCTTATGGAAAGAGAGATGAGGGTGGGGGACCCACACGGGCCCCACTGGCTCTTGTGTCCCCTGGGAATTCCCAGGCTCCCGGGAACAGCCGCAACACACCGCCCCACAGCCGACGGCCACGGCGCCTAAACCCAAGAACAAGCTTCGGTAGGATTCTTAAGTAAAAGGGTGAGCAGTTAAAGTAAGGAGAAGGGTGAGAACAACAGGAGCAAGAAGAGAAGTCCTGGGGCAGGAGGGAAAGTGGAACCTGCCCTTGACCGTGAGAAATGCAAAGGCTCCAGGGGTCAAAGGCAGAAACGCAGGAGCTGCCGCGATGCACGGCAGCGTGGACAGGCCGGCACGCACACGGCGCCCAGCGTCTACGCCAGCAATGAGGTGGGACAGCTGCACGCAGGTCCTGTCCCCACCGCCTGCCCTGGTGACCAGGCCTCGGGCAGCTGCAGGATATTTGGAATTCTGTTTGAAGGAAACGCAGGAATTTAAGGAACACACTAAAGAGAAAAGACAAACTTCTCTTCTGCCTACTCAAGGGGTTTGAACTAGCTGGCTAGATGAGTCTGAAAAAGCACAGCAGTTAGAAATCTTAAAAAGAAGACTTAAGGTTTCAGCAGTCAGTTAACTTAAAAAATCAATAGCCAACTAAAGGTCTAAATGCATAACATATTCCAGCAAGAAAGAGACCGCACCGCTGCAGTGCTGAGGAGCAGACCGTACCTGGACTACGATGCGAGGATCAACGCCTTGTCACCTGAGGATCGCCTGGATCTTGGAGCAGAGACGTCTCAGGAGGGTACGAGGGGTGCTTCCAACTCCTGAAAGGCAAGGAAGAGCCATCAGACGCCTTGGGTTTTGGCCCCAGAACCTCCAAGTCTGCAGCTGGCCCAGGGCAGGCTGGTTCAGCTCAGCTGCGCACAGCAGCAGGAAGGACTTCCCAACTGGGGCACCGACTGCAGATGACAGGTGAAGGGCAGGAGGAGGCACACAGGTCCCACCTCGGGGATTGATCAGGCACCAGGGGAGTCACCGGCGGAATCCAGGGGACAGGTGGGAAACCAGACTAGGTGACCTCCCAACCAGAGATCCCAGCATTCTACCTCTACAAATGGATCCTCGTGTTTAAAGAGGATGATGTAAAATCGTCACACGTCACACGTGCAGAGAAATGGACCTGCAAAAGCTCTGAGCTCCCGGTAGGGGCCACGAAGGGGAATGAGTCCTCTCATGACACTGGTGTAGAAAAGCAAGGCCAGCAGGGGCAGGAAACCCTAGCTGGTGTCTTCAGGACACGCTTAGACTGCATTTCTTGTCATGGGCCCTTCGGCAATGAAGCCCTCCCATGCCCGCTAGCTGGCACAGCATAACGGCATGGACCATACGCCTGCCCATAACTCCAGCAGGATGGGCCAAGGATTGCCCTAAATGCAGGACTCTGTTGTCTGGGGCGTAGCCTGCAGTCCAAGAAGTAAGGGAATCAGTGCTGGCCAGCGACGGAAGTGCGAGGTCTGAACACAGCCAGAGGGCATGCCAGGAAAACCTCCCAGATGCATGGCATGTAAAGTCCTTTGATTTCTAAATCTTACGGTCCACACCTGCACAGATTCCTGCACTCACTGAGACAGACTGCACAGATTCCTGCACTCACATTCATTCTGCGTTAGTATTTCATCCTTTTTTCACTTTCTATGTTGAAAATGTCAAACCTATAGAAAAGTTGAATAAATATTTATTTACTCGGTCTACAATCACCAATATTTAACATTTTGCCTGATTTGCTTTATCTTTCTTTAAATAAAATACACGTTCCTCATGAGCCACAGGGTAAGTGAGCTATAGCTATCATGACATCTGACCTCTAAACGCACTGGTCAGTAACTCCTAGGAATAATAACACCGTCCTACCTAACAGTCATGCTGTTATCACACCCGGGAAACTGGATATTCATTCAACAGTATTTCAAGCCCAGCCCACGACCCAGTGTCCCTAATTGCCAACAGACTGCTATTTCCTGGTGCTCCACCGTGTGGCCCGAGAGCGCTGAGAGCAGCGAAGGTCGACAGGGTCAGGCGCACAGACCAGCAGGGACACGGCGTCCAGGCGCCCCACCGAGGGACAGGCGCACGCGGCGGTCCCTGCGCCAGCCTCTGTCCTGGCAGAACAGAAAGCAGCTGGAGACTTCACGAAAGGCTTTTGCAACGACACGATGTCTCGAGGAAGAGTTCACCACACGTAGAAGGAGCAGGGAAAGGAGTGTTGCAGAGCGTGGGGACTGACTACAAAAATGCACAGGCCTGAGTGTGGCAGACTTGACGATGGTCCCCAAAGATGTCCACGTCCTCATCCTGGGGACCTGTGAGCGGGCCGGTTACAAGGCCAGGGGAATTCGGGTTGCGGAAGGAACAAAGGTGCTGATCAGACAACCTCCAGAGAGTGGGATTCCCCTGGGTGGGCCTGGCGTGATCTCGGGGGTCCTCACAGGAGGGAAGGGAGAGAAGAAGAGCCAGCCTCAGAGGGACGCCGTGTGTGGAGGGCTCCATCAGCCCCGTCGGGCTTGGATACAAGGGGAGACCACAGCCTGCCCGGAGGAGCAGGGAAAGGCAAGAAGAAATGGGTTCTCCCCTGGAACCTCCAGAAAGGGATCCCACCCCCCACAAACCCCCTACGCTGCTGCCGACACCTAGATCTGAGCCCATTTCGGACTTCCCAGCCTCCAGAACTGTAAAGTAATAAACTTGTATTGCTTTAACTTACTGAAACAATAATGCTGAGGTTTGGAAAAGGCTGGGAACTGCCAAAGTGCTAGGGGCCAGGGTCAAAGTCATGCAAGTCCTTGTGGCTAAGACAAGAACACTGCACTTTATTCTTGAAGGGACAATGGTTGGGGGGGGGGGGTGGCCAGCATCAGGTTTGTATTTGAGGAAGATAACTCTGGAATAAAAGGGGCAGAACCAGAAGGGAAACAACTGACAACATTTGCTGCCAATGATATTAATACAATTTGAGCTTTCAAGAAAAAAATTAGAAATCTGCAAAACTTATATTCGGCCAGGGGTCCTCAAACTTTTATAAACATGGGGCCACTTCACTGTCCCTCAGACCATTCGAGGGCCGGACTATAGTTTTAAAAAAAACTATGAACAAATTCCTATGCACACTGCACATATCTTATTTTGAAGTAAAAAAACAAACGGGCAAAAGCACCTGCATGTGGCCCTCGGACTGTAGTTTGAGGACGCTTGTATTCGGCCAAGATTTGAACAGCCTCCCGAAACTAGAGTTTTCTGAGGACACTGGGGTGATGCTAACAAATGTGATGCTGTTAAAATGTATGATGAAATATTTGGAAGATCGACACAACTCAGTAAAACCATAATTCAGTAAAACAGAATCATGCAGCACAGGTAAAAGGTTAATTCAAAGAGCAAAACAGACCCATAGATGCTAGAGTACAAAGAGCCCATTGGTAGTGTTCCAGATTCCTGGTGGAACCGAGTTTCGCTGTAGTATCAGAAAAGAACACCTGCAATTATCTGAAAAGGCCACTAAAGTATTCCCCCTTTTTCTATGCACAGACCTGTGAGGCCATATTTTCTTTATATACTTCAACTAAAACAACACATCAAAACTGATTGAATGCAGAAGCAGATATATGAATCCAGCTGCTTTTGATTAAGCTAAACATTAAAGAGATTTGTAAATAAGTAAAACAGTGCCACTCTTCTCATTGAATACTTTTGTTTTGGAAAACAGGTACTTTTCATAAAAATGTTATTTACATTAACATAAAATGGGTTCCTTATTGTTATTTTTAGGTGGATTCATACATAATTACTTCAAGTTGTTCTAAATGTTAATTCCTAATTGATAAATACCGACAGATACAACCCTCATAAACAAAAGCTCCTGGAAGTCCTCCAAGGCTCAGTGAGCATACAGGGGTTCCAAGACCAAACAGTCTGAGAACCGCCGAGGGAAGGGCTGCTTGACACGAACCCACAGCCAAGCTCCACATGTGCGCAGCAGCCTGCTGCAGTGATTCCTGCTCCGGGTTCCTCCCATGGCATAAAAAAGCAGTTAATGCTGGACTTAAAAGACTAAAGAAAGGCATGCCATACGTTAATCCTGGGTGAACTCACCAGGATTAATGGACTGGAATGCACAGCAAATAAATCCATTAGTACTGCTTTAATTCAAGCATGTTCCAACCACTCTACTGTAATTTTTGAGATCTGAAATGCCTTTGTTTAAAAGCAGAGTAATGAAAATGCTGCACGTCAGATCTAAAGAATTTAATTTCTGTTTGTTTCATAAACACGGCGAGCAGCATTACAGCGCCACCCCTGAAGGCTGCCAGGAGCACATGGGGAGTGCGGAGTGCGGCTGTGACACCATGGTGCTGTGTCGTAGCACAGCCATGCTCCGCGTGATGACAAAGGTACCTCCTCAGAAATGTGTCTTCAGGTGACTGTGTCATCGTGCATATATCACAGAGGGTGCTTACACAAACCTAGATGCTGTGGCCTCCTACACACCTAGGCTATAAACCTGTACCGCACTGTTACTATACCGAACACTGTAGGCAACTGTGACACAATGCTAAGTATTTGTGTATTTAAGCGTGTCTGAATATAGAAGAAGTAAATATGGTACAAAAGATAAGATGAACCTGTACGTGGCACCTACAGGAATGGAGCTTGCAGGACTGGAAGTTGCTCTGGGTGAGTCAGCGAGTAGTGAGTGAACGTGATGAAGGCCACGTTACCGTGATTTCAGGTAGTCATCCCGGCGTTCATGGAACTGTGAGGGTAGCCTCCAGGCAGGAACCTCAGCCCGGAATCCAGAGCTGTCCTGAGGCCTTCCTGCCCCTCCTGTGATGGGTCCCCAGTACTGGCGGGCGGGGGGCTGCACTGAGAACTGCCCACCCCCGCAGCTGTGCCCGCAGACAAGCGGAGAGTTGGTGACCCTGGAAGGGTTTTCTGGACCACAGAAACTTGGGAGCAATCCCCTCTGCCCTTCAGCCTTCCAGTCCTGAAACTCCGCATCTCAGACTCTTGTTCCTTGAAATAGCATACAGTTCTTGCAAGGGACACAACTAGATGGTGCCAGAAACCAAACCTCTTCTACCTACCATATTCCCCCACATTTCTGACAGGCCTACGCTTCCTGGCCTCTAAAGCTCTATCACAGCACAACCTGTCCCCCTCGCCAGCTTCTCAAAGGCAATGTGCTGTCTTTCACCAGGTGACAGGGCTTCCAGCTGTCCCCAAAGGGCTCCCAGGCAAACTCACAGAATGGGTTCCAGTGTCCACTTAAGAATGTCATTATCTCATCTCTTCTCCTAATTTCTGTTTCTAAAAATTACTTTATTTTACATTGGCAGATAAAATCCTACAAATTTACTGTATACAACAGGATATTTTTGAAGTATACATACAAGTTGAGTATCACTAATCTAAAAATCCCAAATTCTGAAACTTTTTGAGAACCGACAAGACACTCAAAGGACATGCTCATTGGAGCATATTTCAGAGTTAGGATTTTTGGATTAGGGTAAGTATAATGCAAATATTTCAAATTCCGAAATCCAAAACCATTCCGGTTCCAAGCATTTTGGATAAGGGATGCTCAACTTATGCATTGTGAAATGACTAAATCTAGCTAATTAACATATGCAGTGCCTCACATAATTATCATTTTTGTGGTATCCTCCTAATTTTTAATGGCCACCCTGATTCCACTTTTATTTGGAACCTGCACCAGTTTCTGTCTACTACTCCCTAAGCAAAGAAATTTACATGTAAACACTGTTTGAAA